TGCAGCAGTGGACTTTCCTAAGTAAATCACTTCCGTGTGGAAAGTAGACAGGTTTTTAAAGGGGAACAGGATGGTCAGAGGACTGATTTGAAAGTCTAATTGACCGAAGTTGTGTTGGGTTAACAGTTTGATCATTCATTGTATCAAATGGCCAAAAAAATAAGGCAGTGGTTCAAAAATGACGCAGGAACAGAAATTACAATGTCAGGAAAATGGTGAACTGAGGGTCTCATGTTCCTCCCTCCCTTTTTTGAGGGGGGGGGGGGGTTGGGGTAGGATGGTGAGTTAAAATAAGAGCCTTCCACACTTTCCTAAACCTCTGTATTGGACACCGGTCCAATACGGACATTTTCAGCATTCCTGTATTATAGACATTACACTTTTTGGGGTGTGCAGGACACTTTTTCCTATTTTTTCCTCTGAGGGTCAAATATCGCTCCTGCAATGCTGTGCGTGTCACCCGTGTTCCATTAAGCCCGGTTCATACTCGGCGCGAAAGCGAAAGCGAACGCGAATTTGTGACGTCATGGCAAGTATTCATGCTGTGAATTCGTAAAAGTTGAACATATTTCAACTCGGACGAATGTTTCATGACGTCAAATTAGCTTTGCATTCGCATGAAGTATGAACCAGGCTTTAGCCTTGGTCAAGGCATTCGATACTAGTGTTGATGATCGTTGGTCGGCTGTTAACGTAACTTAAACAGAAGCCGCGCGCTATGTTATCGCACATACTGGACAAAGCGCGAACAGCGACCTCACGTGGGTATGCTGCAATATGCAAATCAGTCGGTGGTCAAACGCCTTGGAACAACTGTGTGCCTTGGCTTGAAATTCAAGCTTGCGTCATTGTTTCACAGTTTAGTAAAAAAATATGCACTTTCAACATAAAGTTTGAAATAAGGGTACCATTATTTACATGTGCTTTTATATGTCTGAGAAATTGTAATATAAACAAGTTTTAGTCTAGAAATCTGTAGTATGGTATCCTTCAACAATAAAAATTCTTTCAGAGAAGTATGCATGCATGCATGCACCCAGGCTATTCTGGTTTGACCCAAAATTGACCCAATAATATTACTACCTATTTGTAAAAATTTCACACGTCAAATTTGTGTGCTGTTTATTTGAATTAATGCTTCTCGTGGAGTTACAGCATGCAATACATACTCATAGGCATTTCCTTTATAGAGCGCGACCTATTACCAGTTTTTTTGTTGGTTCGGACGATCAGTTTACCGCATTCTTTCGGTGGCTAATTTGGCACGTGAGGATATGTTACAGCTTGGTTTATGGGGTCGCAGCAAAGTATCAGCATTTAACAAATGACAAGTAGGGTTATATTAGTCCGTAAATTACACGTGCAGTGTACCAACGCTATGAAAGGTCAAACAGAGGGAATTGGGGTAAGGAGTCGTCAGTTCAATCCTCAAAATTCAAATGGAAATATGAAATTCCAGCGGAGTTAGTGGACAAAAGAGTAACATACCAGTACCGGCAGTCGTGCTTTGTGAAGCTACCTCGCTTGCATTCAGCTTTCGACACCTGTTCATAATAATTGCATCTTTCACTAAGGCAAAAAAAAAAAGTCTCCGGTTTCTGGTATGCGCGCGCGTCGCCGTAGCCATGCGCGTCGGCAAAATGAAAACGTTTTTTTTTCAATACAAGACGATGTTTCAAAACCGCCAAACTCACTGGTTTGACTGGAATTCTGCTGCTGCACAATTTTAACGTGTTTTTAGATGGGGTTATGATCGAGAATAAGATTTATGTGGCCTCTCTGGACTCCCATATATTTGCACTAAGTTTAGTCGGGCACCATTTGCAGTCATCAGCCGACATTTGAAGCCAAAAAAAAAAAAAAAAACCAGGTAAAAAAAAAAAAAAAGCCGCGTCGCCGCACCACTTTTGGGGCAAGCTCCATACCAGAAACCGGAGCCTTTTTTGGGGGGGCCTAAGGCAGCCATTTTTTTTTGATGATCACCAGTCCACTTCCCCAAAATTTGAAGGACAGAGTCTACACATTTTTATGTGGAATATGGACTGTTTCCATGGCAACAAGAGTGAGAATAGTTGATCCTAGGGTTCAATCTTATTTTAATTATTATAATTTGGGGGGGGGGCTTTCTTCAAGTTTTCATGACATGTACTTGCATTGTCAAAGACCTGACTACATGTTCTTTCCTCCACCTGTTCAAAAAGTCAAGTTTTGACCATAAATCTCAAGCCCCGCCCTTCCCAGCGTCTCCAACCTTGGGGAGGATGGGTTTTAGGAAGGGGTTAAACAGGGAGGATTAAATCAAAAGTGCAATATCCTTGAACGCGTAATCCATGCTGCAGAAGAATGTGGAGGTGAAGGTGGCATTCAGTTTTCTATTGAGTGCCATTTGCTGCAACAATTGAACTTTGCGTATAAATTACAAGTCTAGTGACCGTTATTAAGAGGAAAGGTGGCCAATTTCACGGCGCTGCTAAGCACAAAAATGTGCTTAGCACAAAAAAGTCTGGCTTATAAAAGCAGGTTACCCGCCACAACACCATGTGTTGTATATTGCTCGTGATTGGTATTCAGCTGTTGTTTGCTTAGTATGAAAATCACATGGAGTTTTGGCTAGTAAACTGCTTTTATAAGCCAGACTTTTTTTGTGCTAAGCAAATTTTTGTGCTTAGCAGTGCCGTGAAATTAGGCCCTGATCAGCCAAATTCCTACTTTCGATCTTTGTGCTATATTTAGTCTAAAGCCTACATGTAGGTTCCAACTTCCCCCAATGAGTAAATTTTTACATGTAGGCAATTCAATTTTGTTTTAGAGTCATTCTAGAAATTTATGGGCCAATTTATGGGCCATTTTTCCTGTCCCAGTTACATGTACCTTTGCATTGGTACTTTGTAATTTGCCATTCAAGTATCATTAAAGCTAACTTCAATAAAAACATTTTATTTGTTGGGTAGGTAACTTATAATAATATAATAATACCAATAATATCGTAGTCTTGCGCACGTATCTGCCAACTATTAGGTACTCAAGGTGCTGGAGATATGTCTATTTATTAAAGAAAGGTAAATAAAGGCAAACCCCTTCTCTTAGCGATAAGTGTTACTGGGTTCTTTAACGTGCATTACACAACACACGGGACCTACGGCTTTACGTCCCATCCGAAGGACGAAGCAATAATGGTTAAGTGCCTTGCTCAAGGGCACAAGCACCATGTTCCCATGGTCAGGATTCGAAGCCATGTACCACGGCACACAAGTCGAACACCGTAACCACTGGACCACAGCACCCCACTTTTTGAACTTCCTTTTCGTAATCACACTTGTAGGACAACTGCATTAAGGAGTACATCAGAATTATAAATCATATCAAATGTAAGAGGGACAGGAGCAAAAGTGGACCTCAAATTCATAAAATAACCCCTGACGAAATTTCATGTATACGTGTACATGTAAGTGAGAATTTCAAATATCTTGAAAAAGGTTCGTTCACTATAGTGGCAAGAATTTGACTTTTTCTTGTAGTAAGCCTTTGCTGGAAAATCTTCTTTGAAAAAAAAAAACTGCTTGATTTTGCCACATACTGGGTATGCTTGGATCCAAGTACACAATGAAGTCAAGAAAAAACTGACGGTGCATTGACTTTGAATAGGCCTACATGTTTGAATTTTTAAAGTGAAAAACAAATGTACATGTACCGGTATACAACGGAAAGCTTACTCTACATTGCTTTGGCAGAAAGCCTTGAAATACTGATTGCGTGTATGTCTGTGATGGCTAGTATGCCGGTACATGTAAATATTAATCGATCTTGATACCAGATAAAAGCTAGAAGGCATTTTGAAATCTGTAAATCCTTGGACGTCAACCTCTGTGAGACAGTCTGGTAGCTGGTACTGTGTAGGCCAGGGACATGTTCATGTATACTAAGCAGTGAAGCCCAGCAGAACTTGTTGACACTCAAACATTATTCATGCTTCTGTGATGGGCCGGATTAGCCAATACAGTAGGCACTGTGCCTACCGGTACATGGTAGGGCCTAAGAGAAAAAAAATTGGGCCTACAAAAATTGAGGGCCTTTGATAGTACCAATGTGCCATAAAACCCACACACAATTCCACGCAGACACAAGAAAAGTTTTAGCGTCTCCCTCAGAGTTTTTGATTTTGGGAAAGCTTCAAACTGTCAGCTAGTGAGTACCGGTACATACATGTAGCTGACATTGTAATTAATGCATTGTACCGTAACTGGTAGCAAACTCAATACATGTAATACATTGTACAGGCTAATTTCAGGCAAAATTTGCAGTGAGTTCATCCCAAAAACATTGCAGGGTTTTTTTTGGGGGGGGGGTGTACATGTACATGTCATATGTACACTTGACATGTTGATTTTTCCTGGTTATTAACCAGGAAAATATCTGCCACCATAGTCAATATCAAGCGACAAAAACAGTCCCAATTTCTACAATTTCCTCAAAGACAACTTTCCTCACACAAAACCAGTGTGTGGCTCACTTCATACGGAGTTGGGTCCATTGGAACACTGGTGCCTACGGCCCAACGAACACTTCATCTGGCCCTGCCTCTGTGCCTTGCTGGCTGCGCGTGTGAAGTATTCATGGTCCTGAAGACAGGTCTGTTTACGGTACACCGTGTGCGTGTTTCCATGAATGTGCTGTCTGGGCTGGTGTGCTTGTTGCTTGTGTACGGCTGGGGACAACCTTCAGACCATTATCCCGGATGCTCTGCGCGCGCACTAGCCAACAACCATTGCATCCTTGCGGTTGGACATCCAGGAAGTTAAAAACCCCAAGAATTTCTGACTCCATCACATCATAAGAGTACTTGGGATGTAGAGTTTTCTTCAGCTAAAATAGAGGATTTCTCAGGATATTTCACACTTGGGGGATGGAGAATTTCAGTGGTTGTCGGAGGAGGGCCACCGACTCAAATCCTTGTCGTCAGAATTTCATACGCTGCATTGTTTTTGTTTTACTGCTGACAGTTCCCCCGACCACGCAGCAGCCGGTGGAGGGGACGTCGCCCCCGAGTCTACCTACGCGGCCGTCATTCTGCCCCGGTGGCGCCCAGTGCACCAGCGGTGAGTGCATTGCGCTGTCGCTGCGGTGCATGGTGGCTATTCTAAACATCTCCTTTTTTCAAATGCATGCCATAAACTCATATGCCATTTTAAATACCAAGTTAGATACTTGCTTTTTTTTTCTTCTAATTTATAAAATGAAACCAGTCGTATTTTCTACCCGTTGGAAGCATGACATTTTACTGGTGTCTTTTTATTAGCAATTTTTCTGATGCAAACTTGATACATCACAAGTATACATACCGGTAGTACGTGCATGTACAGACTAACTGAAGGGCCTACATAATGTGCATACCGCTTGGCGAGTAACTCAATGACTACCGGTAGATACTTGTGAGTAGTTTATGCTACTCATTCTTCTGATGGTTTTTCATCTGCTCGAGTACTTGTCCTCAGGTGTGAGTAAAAGCAGTTACTCGCGAGTAGCAATTTAGGTTTATGGTTAATTCACGGCTTAATACGTCCCCTACCAACAGGGAATCACTCCCTCCACCTCTCTCTCCCTAGGATTCCATTTGTCTAAAAAAAAAAATTCAAGCGTACCGGTATGACGCAAAACATCGCACAGTAAGGATAACTCGGTCCTGAAGAATATGGTGTGACTTGCCTGCTATTTGCTTGTCTTCACACGATAACCCGCCGCTACTTCATGTCATACTAACATGCCATTTTTCTGCTTTTATGGGAATTTGGTTAACTACTCGACTACTCGTGAGTAATTGTGGCTGCCTCGGGGCTCACTTGTGCCCAGAGGAGTTTCGGACTACTAGTTCTCAAACTTATGAGAAAAGGACTCCCAAGTGACTGGTATTCGCAATCAATCCAGGAACCACACACAAAACACAATGAAGCCACTTGACAACATGGTGGTGATTGCTGATAGTAGATTGAGTAGATTGAGATAACAATCTGCAATTTAATAAAGCAGAAAAAACACTAATAAGAAAACTATAATAAATGTACATGGAAAAGTCTAATCTATTAAACATGGCAAGTTGAGTCCAAAAATGTGAAGTCTGATTTGTCAAGTCTAAACACTATTTGCAGTTCAATCTGTTTTTGCTGAATGAATAATCAACTGTAAAATCTCAGAAAATCCACTGAATTCTGTCTCTAAACTTATTAAAAGTAACTCATAAAATCAAGGAAAATGCTTCTTACCAAAATGGGGTCTTTCAAGGTCCACAAAGAGTGAATAAAGTGATGAAACTTGAAAAACTAAATTGCAATGAGTATGAAAACACTTGTCTCTGAAATCACATGGTCAGTAAATATGGCTGCCCATTGTTTATGTGGCAAGATTATGTGGTACTTGTACCCACACAGGGTCTCTGTATGCACATAGGAAGTGCACAAGGTCACTCTGGTGGTGGGAAGGAGGCTACTTAATGCAACACATAAGTAGGCTCTTTCACTTTTATGAGGTGAAAGTTAACTGTAGGCTCTTTCACTAAATATGAAGTAATACTCTAAAAATGGAATTCTAAATTTAAACTATGAAAAACTTGTTAAGAAAATTAATAAACTTAAGACAAACTCACTGCACAGCTGCTGCAGTGACATGGCTCCTCTAACTGCATCTCGCAGTTAACAAACTAAAATCAAACCTGAACTTCAAAGATTAATGTCCATGAAAATGTTCCTTCATCTTGGTGGACGTCTTGTCTCGCACGCACTGCTCCTCAGATGCGGACTAGTGTTGGCTCGTTAAATTGGTATCTACCTACTAATGAGTAACAAGAACAGTTAAAATGTAAAGTTCATAAACTAAATAGATTGTCGTCAGCAGTGGGTCTCTTCTGGCAGGATCTTCAGTTTGGCTCTTCGGTGGGGACTTCTCTGGTCTCTTGAGCTTCAGGCTTCTCTGCGGGTACCAACAGGACAAGCTTGTGTACTGGTCTGTCAAGGAGTGATGGAGAGTGTTGCCGTCTGCCAAGGTTGTCTCGTGTGCCATCAAGGGCGGATCCAGGGGGGGGCCAAAGGGGGCCATGGCCCCCCTCAAAACGAAACCAATTTTTTTTTTTTTTAATGTGACATCGCAATAAAGGCAGGCAATGAGTACACCACCATCTTTTCCTCAAAAAAATTGGTTAAAGTGGTCAGAAATTGCCTCAGATCGCACCACAGAGCATCTAGAATCCAAAAAATTTTCGGGGCCCTCACGGGCCCCGAACCCCACGCCGTAATTTTTTAGACCCACTTTTTTGGGGGGGACCAAATTTTTTTTTTGGCCCCCCCCAAAATTGTGTTCTGGATCCGCCCTTGTGTGCCATCGGCCATCAAGAGCTTCACTGACCTGACTCTTCCGTCATTGCTCGGGTAGGTCTCCACTACGCGTCCCAGTGGCCACTGGTTCCTGGTCTGCTCACCTTCCTTGGAGATCACGACATCACCTACTTGTAGATCTCTTTCTGGATTGACCCACTTTTTGCGCTCTTGAAGATGGTGCAGAAACTCCTTTCTCCATCTCACCCAAAACTCATTGGTCAAGAACTGGACACGTCTCCACCATTTGCGGGCATAGACATCTTCCTTCTGGAACTTTCCAGGCGGAGGCAGAACCACCTTGGGTTTCATGGTGAACAGATGATTGGGTGTCAATGGCTCTGGTGCGTCTGATGAGCAGAGATAGTCTGTCGTGAGAGGTCGTGAATTGATGATGCCTTCTACCTCAGTCATGAAGGTCCTGAAACATTCATCATCCAGTTGTGTCGTGGTTTTAAGAAGAAGACCCTCTAGTGCACGGCGTACTGTACCTATCTGTCTCTCCCACACGCCTCCCATGTGACTGGCATGCGGTGTGTTCAGCTTGAAGGGAATCCAGTCACAGTTGCTCTCTAACAGGTACTGGTGGACTCTGTCCTGCTCCATCTCAGCTAGCGCTTCTCTCAGCTCACTCCGAGCACCGATGAATGTTGTACCTTGGTCTGAACGCAGTTGACGTACAGGTCCTCTCCTGCTCTGGAATCTTGTAAGGGCATTGATGAAAGAACTTGCCGTTAGGGAATTTGCTGTCTCTAGATGAACACCTCTAGACGCCATACATGTGAACAGGACACCATAACGTTTCACTTGACTCCTACGCTCTTTCACCAAAAATGGACCGAAGTAGTCCACAGCGCAATAGGAAAATGGGGGCGCTGGCTCTAGTCGATCTACGGGTAGGTCAGACATCTTCTGTCGCTGCAGCGATCCACGCAGTTTGCGGCAGGTCACACATCTTGAGATGTAGTTGGACACAGCTGATGAACCACCAATTACCCAGTACCCTCTCTGACGTAGCTCGTTGTGTGTCATTCCTCTGCCCATGTGATTCACCTTCTCATGAATATGGCGAATCAACAACTGGGTGACATGACCTTTGTAAGGGAGAACGGCTGGATGCTTAGCTTCAATTGGAAGATCAGATCTGGCAATACGGCCACCCACTCGGATGATGCCATCGACATCTAGAAAGGGATCTAGCCGGTACAGACAACTCGTCTTCTTCAGGTAGTCATTTCTCACCCTTGCAGTCTTTCCATCGGTGACTTGCCCGATTACACCAAGTTCTTGTAGGGCCTGTAACTCGACACTGAAATGTTCATGCTGAACATTTTTGATGATTTCCATCTCTCCATTCTGTAGTTCTGCCACAGTGATTGCTTGCTTCGCAGGAGTGGAACAAACTTTCCCTTCACAAGGTTTCTTCACTACTCTGTTCCTCAACTTTGTCTTCAACCTCAGACAAAGAGCGACTGCCCTGCAAGCTCTATTCCAGGATGAAAAGCAATCAAGTCGGCTCACTTCGAAGTGATGATGTCGTGCGTTGTTCTCAGCTGTTGTCACGAAAGCTGAGACTCTTTTCACATCTGGGTCTGATTCACTCAGTGGTGCAACTACGGCTGGCTGGGGTTGAAAGGGGCCATCCTTCTGCAAGAAATCTGGACCGGATAACCAGCAGGACTTCTCTATAAGTTCCTTTGCTGTCAGACCACGTGATGCTTCGTCAGCAGGATTTTCTTTGGTGTCTACGTACATCCATCTCTCTGGGTTAGTCAGACTTCTGATTTGCTGCACTCTGTTAGCAACATAGACATGGAATCGTCTTGCTTCATTGTTTATGTATCCCAAAACAATCTTGCTGTCTGTCCAGTAATATTCGTGGAGCATCTCGTAACATAGCTCTCGTCGCAGGAATTCACTCACAGTTGCTGAGACAGTTGCTGCTGCAAGTTCTAGCCGGGGGATGGTGACGAGCTTCAGAGGGGCCACTCTGGACTTACCGACTACAAAGGAACAATGTGCCTTATTGTTCTCATCGACAAGTCGCAGGTAGGAACACTGACCATAACCATCTTGGCTTGCATCGGAAAAATGATGCAATTCAACTGCTGTCACAGTTCCAAAATCCTTGGGCTTAAAACATCGCTGGATTTGGATCTTCTCTAAGCCGAGAACCTCTAAACGCCATTTCTCCCACTCAGGTTGTAGCATCTCTGGCACTGGACTGTCCCAATCAAGTTTGTCGCGACACATCTGCTGCAAAATTCTCTTCCCTCTGAGGGTTACTGGAGCCACATAGCCATTTGGGTCATAGATCGAACTTACAGTTGAAAGTATGCCTCGTCTTGTGAATGGTCTATCTTTCAACTCAATATGGAACTGAAAGGTGTCACTCTCGACACACCAAGTGACGCCCAGGGCTCTTTCCATTGGTAGTACATCTACCTTCAGATCTAGTTCCCTTGTACCACTGGCTCGCTCTTCTGCTGGGAATTTTTCCAACAGCTCTCTTTTGTTGGAGATGATTTTGTGCAGTTTCAACCCAGCTTTTCCACACAGATTCTGACTGGCTTTGATCAGTAATGATGCTCTTTCCACTGTGGGTAGTGACTTCAGTCCATCGTCTACGTAGAAATCATTACGAATGAAGTTTGCTGCCTCTGCTCCAAACTCATCCTCTCCGTCATCTGCTGCTCTCTTCAGCCCGAAGTTGGCACAGCCTGGTGAGCTAGCGGCCCCAAACACGTGAACTTTCATTCTGTATTCGACCACTGGCTTCTCTGGATCACCATTTTCCCACCATAGGAATCGCAGCAGGTCACGGTACTTCTCTTCTACATAGAACTGATGGAACATGCTCTTCACGTCAACCATAAAGGCCACTTCCTCTTTCCTGAATCTACACAGAACACCGAGAAGACCATTAGTCAAGTCAGGACCTTGAAGGAGATGGTCGTTGAGTGAAACGCCTCCATATTTGGCTGAACAGTCGAACACCACTCTTATCTTGTCCGGCTTTTTGGGGTGATAGACTCCGGTGTGCGGCACATAGTTTACCTTTCCCTCATCAACTTCCAGTTGGTCTAGGGGGACTCTCTCTGCACACTTTGGGATAACATCTTTCATGAACTCCCTGTAGTCTTCACAAAACTTCACATTCTTTCGGAATCTGGCGGACAGCTGATTCCATCTCTTGACTGCAAGTTGGCGGTTGTTAGGCAGGGTCGCAGCGTCAGACTTCAGTGGTAGTGGCATTTCGTAGTGGCCATCGGATGCTTTCTTTATTCCTTTTTCCATCACGCTCAGGAAGTTCTCGTCTTCTACTGAGTATGGCTTCCCCTGATGATTCTCGACAAAGTCGGATTCCAACACCTTGAGAACTTTCTCTGGGTTTAAGACTTCTTTCACCCTTGTACCATAGACGAAGTGTTGGTAGCTTTGTGGTTCAGCAACAACCACTTTGTTGCATACTGCAGGTTGGTCATCGGTTTGTCGTGCAGCCTTGCACACGTTCCCAATCACTCCCCAGCCCAGTAGTGACCTCTGGCCGTAAGGGTCATCGTCACCACCGGCGATGATTTCCCTGGGTCGAACTACTCTGGGACAATTGCTCCCGATGAGAAGAGATATTTGCAGGGTTGGGTCATAGGGCATGAGCTTCTCTCCTAGAGACTTCAGGTGGGGCCATTGATGCACAACCGCAGGTTTCGGTATCTGGGATTTCTTGGCTGGAACGCTGTCCCGCTTGAAGCAGACTGGAAGTTTAACAGTGTGCTCTCTATTGACATCAAGCACTTCAAGCCCGGATATGCGACTGCTGGTGATTTGCACATTTTGCTCTTGCATTGTACTGAGTAGTAACTGCGTCTCTGGTCCCTGCAGGTTCATCCTTTCACACAAACTCTTTGACACAAAGCAACTGTTGGATTGTTCGTCCAAGATGGCATATTCGAGGAACT